TTGGATTGTTGGACCGTCGACTACTGGATAGTCAACTCCGGTTCAAGCAAAACCCCTTATTGATTTGCTTCTAAAATCAAACGAACATAAAACCAGGTGATAATTGCATACTCCATAAAAAAATAAATAAATCATCATTAAAAAGGAAGGGAATTGAATCTTACTTATACAAATGACGTTGGTCTTAGTGTTAACGGAGGAAGAAAACCGGCCGGAATTCCCACGACCAGGGATAGCCGATGCTAAGACAATTGAAGGTGGTGGAGGAGGTAGGTCTACAGCAGCATGTGTCTCTACTTTCGGACCTGCTTCATATGAACTGTAAGCAGATAATTGATTCTGTCAGATTATCAGATTTGAAGTGTGTTCAAGATCAAAACCGATCGACACGATTCAAGAGCCGATATGTACATCATACATTTTTTCGTTGAAGGAGAGCAAGACATCAGATTTGGATATTGGATCAAATTCAAGAAAAGAAAAGTAAATACAGTACACTTCTTAAGTTTTTAATTAACTTATAACCTCCGGCCTCCTGTGATGCTCATGCTCGCCTTCTTCATTCCTCCCTTGGCACTCAATTTCATTGTTTCTATTCTCTCCGCGGTGGCGATCTATATGTGCTAATGATCAATTTGTCTTCTGAGCTCTTCTTTATATTAGATGAGCAGTGGGCCACGCGAAAAACTTTATTTCAATTTTTTGTTTGTTGCTACGGTTTGGACACGGACATTATTATATATTAGAATATTGGATTTGTTTTTAACGAAATGTAAGATTGGGTGATGATGCAAAAAGACTTAACTTCGTTTCAGAACACTTTGATGTCTTAGTTTTTAGTTTTTATATATTTTTATTATTTTAAAAATAGATAAAATATTAATTAAAATAAATATTAAATGTATCAAATATATCTTATATACTTTCAAAATATTAAAAGATTAAAAAGTTAACAATTGCAACAAGAAGTTAATATTGAAAAATTAACAATTGCAATAATAAGTTAATATTGTCAAACTAAATCTTAATTTAGTAAAAAAAAATACAAATGTAATTACAGTCACAAGAATTTGCTAATATCACATAAATTATATTATTTAATTTTATTGATATTTTATATCTTTATGATTTATTTTGTTAAATAAGTGATTATCATGTTTGGAACTATCAATTTATTATTTGATTTTAATATAGGATTTTTTTAATTTATATTTTAAGGTTATAAGTTAAGAGTATATTTAATATAATTTTTAATTATTAAATTATATAAAAAATAAATTTTAGTTTTAATTTTAATAATTTATTAAATAAATAAATAAATAGACATTAATATTAAAAATAGTATTAATTATAAAACTAATATAAAAGACTATAAAATATACATGATTATAATAAATTCTCACGCAGCGATGACCGCATCTCAAAAATGTTGATAAACGCATTTTAAAATGTGAACCAGTGGAAACTTATTATTGGCAGTGAAAGGAAAGAAACAAAAAATTTGCTTGGTGGCTGCAGGAGTTGAGTCGCCTTAGAATGTTCCGAGGTTTGTGGGGTCACAATCGCACGGTTTCCGCTACTCCTCCTATCAAGTCGCGCGATAGGTCCGTACGTTTTCAAATATGAGTTGGCTTTTTTACACGTGCTCTTAGACCTATGCTTTTTTTATCATAAAGTTATTATAGTTATAATATAATATATTATTATAAATTTATAATATAATATATTATTATATAATTAATTTTTTATTTTAAAATTTATTTATAATATTATGTATTTATTAAATATTATATTATAATTATAAATTTATAATTTTATATAAAATTATAATTATAACATAATTATTTTTATAATATGTGAATAATAATTTAAATGACTTCAATTAAATAAAATTATTTAACAAAAATTACATATTAAAATATTTAAATTATTATTTATATATTATAAAAAATATCATCTAAAAATTATGTGTAAAAAAGCTTTGAAACAGATGCACTACTTTATATTAGCACATGTTTTTTTACTGTCACGATTAAATTTAATTTTTCATTTACTAACTATTACTTTTTTATTATTTTAGTTCAGAAAGTTTAGTTTCTCTCAAATTCATCTATGAACTTTGCATTCTTCTTCTTTTTTCCGGAACTGAACTTTCAAGCTTACATGTAGATGTTTGGGCACTATGTTGGCACCACAGAAGCAATATAATTCTATAAACTTTCAAATTTCCTAATGAGTTTTGAAAATGATGTTTTTTAATCTTAACAGTATAAAAATGTGTAATTTAAGTTTTAAAAATATCAAAATATTTTCTTATAATCTTATTTAGTAAGAGTATTTAAATATTTAAATTATCCAATCTTATTTAGAAGAATATATTATTACCTTTTTTATTTAGTTAAAAAAATAATTTTTATTTGTAAATTTTTGTAGGGTTTTTAGAATGTATTGGATAATTTTTAAAATTTACATTTCAAAAAAAATTATTAATAAAAAAATTAGTTTAATTTGATAAAAATAATATAATCTTAATTATTTCATAAATTAAGCTTACAATCTTAATTATTTATCAGTATTTTTTTGTTAATTATAATTTAGTCCATTTAAGGACTTACTTGACTAAATTGAGTTGTGGAGTGGTTTAAATTTAAAACTTAATTTTTTTTTTTTGAAATTTACGGGGTTAAAGTATAATTTTCAAAACAACATTGTCACGCCCCAGAACCCAAATCCGAGGCGCGACAGACGTCGTGCACTCGTGAGACGAGTCCCACAAATGCACAAGGCTCGGAACTTACTGAACAAAATCAGTTTTGATACCATAAAATTTCCAATTAAAATCTAACTTATAGGAGCGTGGTGTACATGTATCTAAAATCTATGTCAAATCTCAAGTGGCTAGCCTTTTTTTTTTCACGTCACTCCCCTTGATTTCCGAGTCTCGGGGCACACTACCTGAAATGGTGGACGAGAAAAACGAGGTGAGATAACTCAATAAGTAAAATATGGATTGCCCTTAATTAAACTTATAGCATGCCAACAAGTGTAATCACGAAAAACGAATACAGTACGGGCACGAAATAGACGTCTCCTCTATAGGTCACGGCCAGTGTATAATCCCCACTAGCAGGGCCACGATTTGCTGGTGTATAACCTCCACTAGCTGGGTTGAACGAACCGGCTCTATCACTA